AAGAGTGTTGACTGTGGAGCCAAGCAAACTAAAACTGTTAACTATCTCAATCTCTTCACCATCCATACTGATGTTGCCAATTGGCCCAGTGGTGAAAATCTTTGTTTTCTTGATGTTGCGCTTCAATCCATATTGAAGGCTGCAGTCCTTGCCCTTCTGTAGCAAGCACTTCAGGTCCTCCTCAGTTTCAGCAAGCAGGGCTGTGTCATCTGCATAACGCAGGTTGTAGAGCTCATTAGGCTAGTAATTTAACAAGTAATTTCTCTTTAGCTGTATAAACCTAGACAAGTAATTAGTTTTGCCTATAAAATGGGAATTATTAAAATACTACTTTACAGAGTTGACATGAGGATTAAGTACATGTAAAGCACTCAGAAAAATACCTGACAAATAATGTTACTCAATATTAAGATAATTTGTAGAAGGATGGCTTGAATAGAAGCCCCATAGCTTAGTTTTTACGTGCACAGCTGCTAACCTTAAGTTCAGGGGTTTAAACACACCAGGTGCTGCACGGATAAAGACAAGGCAGTCACCTTCCATAAAGATTATATTATAGCCTTGGAAACTCTACGAAGTATTTCTAGTTTGTTCTTCAGAGATGTTAGGAGTTGAAACTGATTCGATTAATAGTGAGTTTTTAGTTTGGAATTATATAGTGTGTCAAATAACTAGATCACTACTAAAATGAAGAAATCCACCCTTCTGGTACTTCCCTGGAATGTTAACCTTAATCAATATGATAGCAGTAATTCTCAATCATCATGCAATTTAATGAGGATCCTGCCACTGCTGCCTTTGTATCATCTTCCATTAATCAGCACCAATTCAGTGCAAAAGAAGGAGCAAGATGACAAAGCAACATAAACCAGGTGAATCTTTTGCCAGAAGAACTCAATCTCCAATATCTGGAAAAGTGATTTCTTTTCTTGAGGTATCAGGTTAGAAATATCGGGTCTCTTTCTCAATGCCTGGATATCAATACATGTGGTATCCGTCTATTCCACCTAACTCAAAAATTCAAGCCAACTATGTCCTGCTTGTATCTGAAGAGCTCACACATGGCAGCTTCCTCTTCACTTGGAATTTAAGGTGAAAGAGACTCCTTGATCTTAAAAACTACAGCTATAAAATGTTTGGGTTTTCTGTTAAGGTG